GCGTTGCGCAAGTTGATACACGCTCAACCGGCGTTAGATTTATTTCTGCCTGGTAAGAGACGGTGCAACTCGACGAGTTCCTTTTAGGCGGTATTTTGGCATAGATCTTCTCCGAGGAAGGATGCCAGCGTACAGTTAACCTTGAGGGAAACCGACATATCCCTATTGGAATTCACAGACACGAATCTTGGATTATATAAGGAATACATTGTTTCTAATCCGTGTTTCAATTTAATCCGCCGGGAGATTTAAGTAACTTCTGTATGCACGTCATCGCGTCAACTAATTTATATAATTTATTGTTGAAAATTTTGCATATATATTTACAATGAAATTTGTATAAATAAATAGGAGGAAAATTTTGCATATATATTTACAATGAAATTTGTATAAATAAATAAGAGTGACGATCTTTGATTAATTCAATTTGAATCAGTGTTGGACAGGATGACTTTGATTTGTTAGCGTCAAGGGCTAATTCCAAGTGATGTACATATGCGGGTTAATTGGCAGATCGATCGTTCAAACGGTTCCCAAGTACCATTATTATAACATTCGTCAGGTGAACGAGTTCTGCCGGGAACAGCGTGCTTACGTTATCTACAGACGTACGCGTGGTGTGTACCTGACATATTCGATCGCTGCTCCTGTGTCCGACGTATCTGATAAAGCCTACGTAGCAGACGACTCATGGTAATTTGCTCCCGAAATCCCTTAATTATATCGACGATTTACATAATACGCGGTGACCAGTTAAGTGGATCGTAATAACAAGGTTCCCGGTCAGCTCTAGCCTCGTCAATTATGCGAGTGCTTGCATTCCTCGCAATAATTGCCGTATCTCGATGTTACGTCGCTCAACCACATAATCGTTTCAATCTATCTGACGACCTAAATATTAGAGAAAGTCTTCTCAGCTTATAAACTTTAATTATTAAACGTAAATTAGAACAGAGCACACAAGTTCAAGAAGTTAAGTTTAAACTAACTATGAAGAAAATCGTTCATTATTGCGATAAATAATTAATCTCGTGTTACAACGAAACTAGAATCGCTCTGTGAAATGCATGAACGTTGGGATCGATACAGTTGGATTAATGTTTCACGTTTGGTAATTCATTTCATGTCAAATCCACTCGCGATACTCGATTTTCACACACGTTGACAGTTCCTGAAGAGAAATGAAGCTGGGGAGCGGAACGTGTGTTTTAATCGGAAACACCTGACTCGGTTATTACCGCGCACGGCTTGACAAATAAAGAATGAGTTCATAGACCGATACCAGTGATGTAAGTGCGCCGTGCCGCAAGTACTGGCTGAGTCATGCGCTGGGATTTTTCTTCTCCGAGGAGACTTTCGTTGTTTCTTTTCTTTTTCCTTCTCTCCACGAAGAATGATAGCGATAAGCTTATCGGAACTAGCAGTGACTTCACCTCTCCATAGATTAACGGTGAATAGGGCTGATGGTAAAAAATAGGACACGAACGTCGTTAACGATGTTCTTTGTACTATAGTATTGTAAATGAAATGATAAATGCGTTTGATAGAAGAATATTTCCTAATCTATTGAACGATGGATTTGTATTGCGCATTAATTTTATTATTCATAGTCATCATTGTGACTCTTACGGTTCTTATGCAAGTAAATTTGTTATATTTAATGTAATAAGCAAGATCCTTATAAATTTTCAGTAAATTTTGAACTAATCCGAGCGGAACTAATTAACGTTTAAGGGTTGACCAAGTTATAATGAAACACTGATTAATTTTAATAGAATTTGGCGAAATCGTGGCTATCTAATCAGACTATCCGTTGATTGGTTCTAATAGAATCTCGCCAAGTTATACGGCGTGGTCTATTGCTGTTTTCAATTAAATTAATCACGAAGCTTCAATCTATCGCCTAATACAAGTTTCTACCTCGTCGTATGACCCACCGCTACTGCGATTATAATTATCGATCACAGAATTTATCCATTTTGCATGCATTTTTAAGTATTCCCCCTTCTATCCGGTTTATTCAAAGCAGCTGATGTGCCACCGCAAAAGTTCGTATCATCTGCTGAACCAATATTCTGTCTCACGTCCTCTGGATATTTTGTAATTATAGATTTCGAGGGTCGATATTATAATTTTTGTGTATAGAAATGAGTGAATCGAAATTGCATGTCTCTCGTCCAGTATCGGAAAGTTTGTCTAATATTGGAGCATGAAAACGAGAATAGACTGGTCGTAGAAAACCAGGTCGACGAATGCGAGTACGTATGTATTATGAAAAACTTTTGCTAAGCGTATAATGCGGCACGATTCGCGATTCAGACGGCACAGTAACAGCGTGCATAGACACCGAGAGAAACGCGAGAAGGGGCGTAAAACTGTGGCTGCTAATCCTCCGATTACCTCCGCGAAACATCTCCATGAATAAGGGTTGCAGCGGGTCAAGATGCGTACGCGAATCGCGTGCTCTCGTCTGTGAAAGGGTAGGCAGGAGCGAAAACAGGGCAACCGGCGAAGCAGGGCGCGGGAGGGTCGAACGGTGTACTTGACGCGGAGCTCATTCATCAGTCTACAGCGTTCGGTGATTCATGCGACACATGCAGCCCGCGTCCGTGTGTAAATACGTTCTCCGACGTCATCGCCGCGACGCCGGTCGATGCCACGGGTACGCGTGTTATGGCCGATTTCGTCGCGATGATGCACGTCTCTGCAGCGTAAATCGATTTCTCCTGGATCGATTCTTGGATGTTAGCCGAAGGCTCTAATTTATTTCTTGTTACATGCCCGGTAGACAGGGTTAAGCGCAAGGTTCGTGACACGACCGGTTGAAAGTTTTGTAACAGTTTTAACAACTCGCTACGATTGCGACGGGTTTGACGTGTTCCGCTGGGTTCTTGTTACGTAGGGTTTCAGTCGGCGCAAATTCGTTCCCCTAAGTTTAATGATTCGTTAGCTGGTAGATGGTGAACGGTATTAAAACTCTAAGGAAATATTATTATAAAAGTATTTTCATATGAGTTTTGTGTAACATGTAAGATCTCCCTTCTTCGTATCTTCTTTCTTATGCACCCTTTTTCGATTTACACAGACATCAATCATAGTCTGTATGCCGGAGTTTTCGTTTTCTACTTATTCCAGTCCCGTCGATTATTCGTGGGTGGAAAAAAAAGTTGTCCACCGGCTGTGGCTAGTTTCCAGGCAATCGTGATGGAGTAGACCGCAGTAGATATCCGCGCTAGGGAAAAACGTAAAGCGAAACTGAATCATCACCTGTAGTTACAGTCCCGCGGGGCTATATTTAGCGTCGCTCCCCGAATCGGGGAAGTTCTTCCCATAAATAAAAATAACTACCTTCCACCCTCGCGTATATCGCGGCGAAGGGGGCTTCCTGGAGGATTACGATTTCTCCCAGTGGTTCTCGTCGGTTGTTGTCAGCTGCGGCTAATACGCTCGCACCGAGCCCTCGGTCATTCCGTATGTGGGTGTTGCACGCTTCGAAACGCGTCGTGCCGTATACCCAAGGGTGGATAATGTTTTCTACGGTTATTTTCGGAGAGCAAGAAATAAGTGTGTTAAGAAGTACGTGGGCTAGTCTCCATTTGCGCGATACGTTATACTTCGAAGGGTTGGAAAAGTGGAACGGTTTCATAAAAATAGAAAATTGTAGACGCGATCTTATCGAAATAATGAAATTTTTTTCTAATCAGATCTGAAAGCTATCTCTAAAAACCATATTTCTACCGACTTGCAAATGTCATACTGTTGCTGTCAAAGGACGGTCGTAGATAGAATCATTCTGTTACAAAGAGTGTGTGTGTGTGTGGACAGTTGAAGTACTATTGATTCGCAGTATTATGGAAGAACCGAAGGGATCAAAGGTTCACGTAGCGCGTAGGAAAATAGAAAAGAATTGCAAATGGTAAGCCAAGAAATGGAATATCGATTGGAGGTTTTTAGCTATAAATGTAACAATTACGTCCGGACATGAGACATCGTTTCAAACTTTTTCCGTACATCGAAATACGTATCGAACGTCACACACTATAATTATATCCGATATCAACCATCGTGGTTCAATTTATTTCGACGACATATTTCTCTTCATGTTATTCGATTTCCATTCATTTACCATTTATATCTGTCAATCTAATTTGACTGGTAAATAAACAAAGTTGGATATTTTTCATTAGTTTCTCGATACTTTATATGGCAGAAATAAGAAGGAAATAGCGTTAAATCATCCAATCGCGTAATAAATGACTCTTTAATGGAATCATGAAACCATGTTTCATTTCACTAATCGTATTATTCTCCCTCCGCGAGTGCCAGCAAAAATATTTTCATTTAGAGATGTACATCTTGTTGTTCATCACGTTCGGAGTTGGAACATTAGTCTCGTTATCGCGTACGCTTTTGCTCCAACCTAATTTCCCAGAAGCGAAAGCAATTAAAACGCGGTCGTGTCAAAGCGCGATGAACTTAACGTGTCTCTGATGACGAAGATACCGCAAGGATCCGGTTGTACGATCGTCGTATACCTACTATACGTGCACCCGTATGTAGGATGAATCCATATTTCATAGGGTATCGCGCGGGGCGACATGACGTCTTTAAACGGACATGATTATTATCGCTGTCTACGTACAACCGGCTGATCGATACACTACTATTGTGCGCCGCCAAGTTTCTGCTTTGAACTTCAATTTGGCCTCGTTGTCGGAACCTCAGAGTATATATCCACGATTGTTTCTAAAAAAAAAAGCTCTATCTCTACACCGATATAAATCATACCAGCTGCAGGCCCGTTCAATTTTCGGTCGACAATCAAACATCCACAAACGGATAGATGAAATATTATTTGCATATAAA